GACTCTATAGAGCAGATGCTCTACCACTGCGCCACGCGGGCAACACTAAAATCTGTTGTTTGTCAAGAGTTTGCCTCATTTTAGAAATTGTTCATAAGTAGTGCATGCTGTTGCGTATCGAATAAACTGAGAGACATAAACCACATATTGTTGTTAATTTTATTTATAACTCTCTAAAATTCTCAAAGATTTATATAATGTTAGCAATTAATTATATTCTGAACAGATTCATATTTATTTAATGCACAATATAAGCTTAAATAATATAATGGACGTGTAATTATATGGGGTAAATACCCTGAGTATAGATGCTATTGTTTGGAGGTCACAGAAAACTGCTTAGAACATATTTTGTGGCTCTAAGAGGTGTTCTCAATTTGTTTAAACATTTAGGGTGAAAATTACATTGATCATTATGTTTTTTAATGAATGATGAAATAAACCATCAATAATAACTAGTAGACTAATTGTTCACAGAACAATTAGAGGTCTTTCCACCTTTTTAAGTGTTTCTATGTAATTTGGGCTGTAAAAAAAGAAGAAAACTGAAAAAAAAAAAAAAAAAAAAAAAAAAAAAAAAAAAAAAAAAAAAAAAAAAAATTGTTCTTCCAGCAGGGATCGTACTCGGAACCCTTAGCTTGAAAGGCAGGCGCGCTAACTACTACGCCACCAATTCCAGTGAAGATGTATGCAGTAAACTACCTATTTAAGAATAAAAAATTGTTGTACAACGTAGTTATCGGAATTGAATAGTTTTGAGAAACATGTTTCCATATCATTTGGCTTTCAAAAGAACAGAAGAAAGAAAGAAAGAAGAAGAAGAAGAAGAAAAAAGCAAGAAAATAAATAAAAAAATCAAAAATTCGTATTTTGCTGTACATTTATTGTCGGGCTCGTTTCTCTGTAGAGTTCAAAAGGTCTTTGCGCATCTCTAACAAAAGATGTTTTTTTTTTTTTTGCGATTTAGGGGCCAATTTTTCTCTCTTTCCCCTTCTCTCTTCCTTTCTCTTCTTCTCTCTTCCTTTCTCTCTCTCTCCTTTTTTCTTTTTGCTTCCGTGTTGATGGCATTTGTTTACATAGTTACCATGGAAGTACAATGCATGCATGACGTGTTTTACTGTGCATATCGTAATTCTATTTTTGTGCACTGTGCATTCGAAGGTTTAATTTGAGGTGTTAAATATTCTGATTTAGTTAAACTACTTAGAAAAGTGCCGATGAAATAAATCGGACTCGAGGCTAATGGTATGTAGGTCGTCATATAGGAAAACATGGACTGGACTCAAAGCGACATGACTGCGGATCCTAAGATTGTTGCAGGCTCAGTAAGAAGATTCCTGAATGAAACAAGCTTCCATGTGGGTTATATTAAATGCAGCTATGATAAATAAAATGATCTACATGCATTTTAAGAAGAAAACAAGATAATTAAAGCGTGGAATAGTTTATTTCATACATTTATATTGGTTTAACACCCCCCCTTTCATATATTGTGTATTTCTCGTATTTTGGATGACCTTGACCTTTGACCTTGACCTAAATTTCAAGGTAAAAGTTTCTAAAGTAGTCGAAGACACTGTCGAAGGTTTCGCATCTCTATGGTCAATGGTTTTGGAGGAGTAGCGATAACAAGGTTTTTCGCACAAGGGGCAAGAAATTTTTAATGCGTCAGGCTTAGGGGTTGAAAAGTGAAATCTGAAAGTAGTTTTAAAAGGACATATGATGTATTTAATGTTATGTAATATATGTTGTAAGACAAAAGAGATATAAAAAGAGCTATAATTCTCATACTCAGAGTGACCTTGACCTTTGACCTTGAACAAATTTTGAAGGTCAGATGATGAAAAAGCCATTGCAGTTGGTTTCGTGTCTCTAGGATTAATCGTTTTAATTTTCTTCATTATTCGTCAGGAACAAAAACTTTCAGGGGGCAATAACTCTTCAAAGTGCTCGATCTATCATTTCGCAATACCAAGATTGAAAAGTATTCTCAAGTAGTCGAAGACATCGGTGAAGGTTTCGTAACTCTAGGGTTTACGGTTTCGGAGGAGTAGCGATAACAAGCAATTCTTGCGAAAGGGGTAATAACTACGAAAGGGGTCATAGGTTATATGCATTGGGTCAAATTTGTTCATAACTTTTTATGACCTTTACGATGAAGAAGAAATCTTTTCGATAAACCTCGAAACAAAAAATCAGCGGAAGAAAAATAATAATAATAATAACTAGTAGACTAATTGTTCTCGAACAATTAGAGGTCTTTCCACCTTTAAATTTCATATATTCTTCATATTTAACTCTCCACTCTTTATTTTTATACAAAAGAAACCAGAAATGGCTTGAGAGATGGAAAAAATGAAAATTTTAAAATTTTGAAATGACCTTGACCTTTGACCTTGAACAAATATTCAAGGTCAAAGGCCAAGGGTCACATTACAATTAACCCCATGCTTCTACGACTTTTAGCTTTAAAGTTATAAGGTTTACTAGTAAGCGCAAAGACGTTAAAGGGCAATAACTCATATAAGGGGTCATCGGATACTTTCGCACTGAATAGATTGAAGTTGTGTCTAAAGACACTGAATACATTAGTGAAGGTTTCGCGTCTCTGCGGTTTACGGTTTCAGAGGAGTAGCGATAACAAGGTTTTTTCGCACAAGGGGCAATAACTTTTAAAAGGGTTAAGCTAAGGGGACAAGATTGAAATCTTTGAAATAGTTTTAAAAGTACATATTAAAGATGCAAAGATATACTGTATATGTTGAAAGACAAAAGAGCTATAAAAAGAGCTTTATTTCTCTTATTTGGAATGACCTTGACCTTTGACCTTGACATAAACTTCAAGGTCTAGGGTTAAGGAATCTAATGCAGTTAGTTTCATGTCTCTACGACTTATCGTTTTGAAAATTTTTCATTATTTGTAAACTTCAAAAACTTTCAGGGGCAATAACTCATAAAAGGGCTCAACAAATCCTTTCATAATGAATAGATTGAAGAGTCTCCTCAATTAGTCGAAGACATTGGTGAAGATTTCGTACCTCTATGGTTTACGGTTTCAGAGGAGTAGCGATAACAAGGTTTCTAGCGAAAGGGGCAATAACTGCGAAAGAGGTCATAGGTTATAAGCGTTGGGTCAAATTTGTTCATAACTTTTTATGACCTTTACGATGAACAAAAAATCTTTTCGATAAATGTCGAAACAAAAAATCAGCGGAAGAAAAATAATAATAAGAAGAAGAAGAATAATAATAATAATAAACAGAAGAAAATCAATAGGTCTTTCCACAGAAAGGTGGAAAGACCTAATAATAAACAGAAGAAAATCAACAGGTCTTTCCACAGAAAGGTGGAAAGACCTAATAATTATTGTTATATTGTTTTTCAATTATATCAATTAATTGATTATATTTATAATTATTGTTGTTTAATTATATTGTTTTTTAATAAGATTGAAAAAAATTGTTTGTTGAAAAAGAATAAAAATATCATATTATACAATAATAAATTAATCTTGATAACTTTTTCCCAAATTCATTTAAAAAAAGGCTGGTCATCCAGTGACTTTGTATTTTAATTTCACAGCTAGACTAATATATAAATAACAATTAAGAAGGTTACAGAACAGAGATTCTCAATTATTCTGCCCGATTCCCAAGAGATATAGATAACACCTGCTACAAGTAGATCAGAGGTGCTCTAACAGCTTTCCACTCTGAACTCATTAATCTTCAACTGAATGCATGTCCACTCATTACTCCTAAGGGACAAATGGATTTACATTATCTGCTGTGTAATGCGCTCACAATAGGAAAGACATGTTTATGTCATTCTGTTGAAAACAGAGATTTTTTTAAATTTGTTACAAAGTTTTATATAATAAAAAAAAAAGAACTGTGTAATCTAGATGCAATTTTTTTTTAATAGTTACTGTATGACTATTAGATTTGTATGGATTATCTACCAAAAGTTTTTTTAAATACTTGGTGATTTTTTTTTAAGTTTTAAAGAGTAGTTTTAAGCTGCAATTCACATTTTTATACAGATGTACCAACTGGCAGATCTAGATTCTATGTCTCAAACCTGCACGAACTCAAAATGACTGTCGTTAAAAATGAAAAGAAACATCGGTAAAATGAAGAAAATCATCTAATCATGATTGAAAATACCAGGTGCACACCTTCATATCGTGAATAATGACTGTACAAATTTTCAGACAAATCCATGAGATAGTCTCCAAGTAAAGGTCTGGACAAAATCACATCTACAGACAGACAGACAGACAGACATGCTGATTCCAAACTTCGCTTGCGGGGGGTATAATTACCACCACTGCAAAATATGTGTGAAAAAGTCATTCCTTGAAAAATTACCGCCCGCATAAATGAGTCATTTTGCAATAAAATATTATGTTTTGTAGTAGAAATTGAGCGTCCAACCGGATGAAGAACGCGAATTTCCGCATTAATGAGACAGAATAATGTTGAAAAAAATTGGTACCAAAATATATTGTCCAGATTAATGGCGTCCGAATTACCGCGGCGCCACTGTATAGAAAAAAAAATCTTCTTCTCAAGAACCACTGAGCCAGGAAAGCTGAAACTAATGTGGAAACATCCTGGGATAGTGTAGATAAATGTTCAAATCATGACGCCTAGGGGTAGGGTGGGGCCACAATAGAGAATCCAAGTTTTACATTAAATATATAGCAAAAAAATCTTTAAAAATCTTCTTCTCAAGAACCACTGAACCAGAAAAGCTGAAGCTTATGTGGAAGCTTTCTGAGGTAGTGTAGATTCTAAATTGTTCAAATCATGACCCCTGTGGGATGAATGGAGCCACAATAGATATAACTAGGGGGAAAATCTGGTGAAGAACAGCAGGGCCAAAATTACTCAGGTGAGCATTGTGGCCCATGAACCTCTTGTTTTATAGAAGGATGGCTGGAGCTTTAGTAATTTCTTAATATTGTACTTTAGTAATTCAATTTGAATCTTTTATAGAAGGATGGTTGGAGCGTTTGCATGAAATGTGAAGTGTATAGGCCACCAAGGGCTCATCACTGTAGAATCTGCAGACGATGTATAAAAAAAATGGACCATCACTGTCCATGGTAGGTTAAAAATTCCTATCTCAATTAAGGCAACCTATTTGTGTTAATACAACACGCAATTATGAATTTACATTTCATTTCATCTAGGATAAACAATTGTGTTGGAGAATTAAACCAGAAGTATTTTATCCAATTTCTCTTTTATATAGGTAAGTGTTACTGTCTTTTTACTGTGATTTATTTAAAAAAAAATATACTTATTTGGCCTTTCACAATAAAAGAAGCAAAAATGTAAAGGTAGAAAAATGATAATTTAATGTAGGGAAAAAAGTGAATACACACAGAGATCGATCAGTGAAGAAGTGGTGGATGACTAAACAGGAGTTGTAGATATTTCATAAGTGTAATTTTTTGCTGATATATGATTTATCCCAAAATTCATTTCATGAAAGCTTACCAAATGATAGCTAAGGAGAAAATTTTAGCTTTTTATACACCCGTCTTAAGACGGGACGTATTATGTTATGGCGGTCATGTCCGGCTGTCTGTTAGCTTTTTCGTGTCCGGCTCATAACTTTAATACTATAAGGCCTAAAATTATCAAACTTTGTCAGCTGATACATCTTGGGTAGAAGGTGTGTCGCACATTAAAAGTAGTTTGCTCTGACCTTTAATTAAGATGTTATGTCCAAATATGGAAAAATCCTGTCCGGCTCATAAGTAGAAAACTATTAGACTTAAAATCATCCAACTTGGCCAATTTATGCATCTTAGGTAGAAGGTGTGTCTCGACCTATTTCAAGGTCACTGTGACCTTTAATTTAAGTGAAAGTTAAAAAAAAATTGTGTCTCTATACTATTGAATTACACAATCCCCAAAATTGTAAGAGTGTTGCAGTATCTTATTAAAAGTGTTAAATCAAAAAATTCTTATTTTTTTCATTATATACTTTGCAGCAATCTATAACAAATGTAATGTTATTTGAGAAATTCCACCTCTCCGATGGGTGTAATTATCAAGCACTGCTCAAGGAGAATTTTGATAACAGAAAATTGCATGTCAAATTGGAGAGAAATTAATGAGTTTTAGTATTAGTAGCTAACTGGTAGAGCATCTCTGATCAAGCAGGAATTGGGCAAAGGAATCAGCCATGTTTGATTAAGTAGATTATGTTGGCTAGCCTAACTTTTAAAATGAATTTGGTGAAAAGTAATTAAAACTAATTTGATATTGTAAAATAAACTAATTTGATATTGTGTAATATTATTAAAACTAATTATGGGGGGGGGGGGGGGGGGTGATATTTGAATCAGCATGTCCATTTGTTCCTATGCACTGCAGCTTAAAACCAGTTTGACATTAAATCTCCAAAAAAAAAATTATCAAGTATTTTTAAAAAAAAATGTTTTATGGTAGATAGTACAAAGCAGTAACCTTATTAAAATGTTGCATCAAGTTTACACAAGTTTTGTTTCTTTTTATAAATCTTTGTAACAAATTTAAAAAATCTCTGTTTTCAACAGAATGACATAAATATGAATTTTTACTGCAATGCAGACTACAAAGCAGAAAGTGCAGATCCATTCATCCCTTGCGAGTAATGAGTGGACATCCAGTTAAAGATTATAATTAATTAATGAGTTCAATGTAGAAAGGCTAGCTGTCTCAATCATTTCTTTTAGAGCATCTCTGATCAAACAGTTTTTATCTGCATCCTTTGGGAATTAGACAGAAGATCTACTAATCAGTTTATAGCATATGTCATTTGATGGACAGCCTTCTATTTTCAAAATTAATTTGGTATAGATTAAATTGTTAAGACTAATTTGATATTGTTTAATATGATATTTTTATTTAATTTTTTGAAAATATCAAACAAATATGAAAGATGGGGGGGGGGGGGGTGGTAGCAGATGGCATTTGTCAAACTCTGACACAACCAGTTGAGAAATCTATGATGTAATATTTGTTATAATTAATGCCTACACTACAGGAGATGTATAAACAGCAAATATTATAAGGAATGGAAAAATCATGGAAATCTTTGAATCAAAGTTGACATGATTTGCACTCTAAACTGTTTATGATATTTGACGGGCGTAACATGCTGTGGCGGGGCACTTTATTTCCAGTATCATCAGAATTGTATTTCTATCAAGTTTTAAAACACAAATTATGAAAAGAATTAAAATTATTTATAATTAGGAGCAAATAAGTAGCCAAGTGATGGCAGAATTTACATTTTTTAAGGTTTGTCCAGTGTATATGCAACTACGTTGGTAATAGCTTCTTGGATAATAGATCCTGGTGTCAAAGACAAGCATTTTAAACT